TGAACAGTTCTTCCCTGTTCATGTTTTTGTTTCTTCAACAGGGAAGAGTGGGCAGGTCTAAGACAAACATGCTGAGCACATTCTGTCAGGAAGGACAGACAGGGAAAAAAGGGAGGAGGGGTTGCCTTGTATATTAAAAATGTACACACTTGGACTGAAGTGGAGATGAACGTAGGAGATAGCTGTGTAGAGAGTCTCTGGGTTAAGCTAAAAGGGGTAAAAAACGAGGGTGATATCATGCTAGGAGTCTACTACAGGCCACCTAGCCAGGTGGAAGAGGTGGATGAGGCCTTTTTTAAACAATTAACAAAACTATCCAAAGCCCAAGATTTGGTGGTGATGGGGGACTTCAACTATCCAGACATATGTTGGGAAACTAACACAGCGAGGCACAGGCTATCCAATAAGTTTCTGGACTGCATTGGAGACAACTTTCTGTTTCAGAAGGTTGAAAAAGCTACCAGAGGAGAAGCTGTTCTGGATTTGGTTTTAACAAATAGGGAGGAACTAGTTGAGAACTTGAAAGTGGAAGACAGTATAGGGGACAGTGATCATGAAATAATAGAGTTCATGATCTTAAGGAAAGGTAGAAGGGAGACCAGCACAATTGAGGTTATGGATTTCAGGAAGGCAGATTTTGATAAGCTCAGAGAACTTGTAGGTAAGGTCCCATGGGAAGCAAGACTGAAGGGAAAAACAACTGAGGAGAGTTGGAAGTATTTCAAAGGGACGTTGTTAAGGGCCCAAAAGCAAACAATTCCGCTGTGTAGGAAAGATAGAAAATATGGCAAAAGACCAGCTTGGCTTAACAAGGAGATCTTGCATGATCTCAAAATAAAAAAGGAGTCATATAAAAAATGGAAACTAGGACAACTAACAAAGGATGAATATAGGCAAGCAACACGGGAATGCAGGGGCAAGATTAGAAAGGCAAAGGCACAAAATGAGATCAAACTAGCTACAGGCATAAAGGGAAACAAGAAGACCTTTTATAAATACATTAAAAGCAAGAGGAAGACCAAGGACAGGGTAGGCCCACTGCTTAGTGAGGAGGGAGAAGCAGTAACAGGGAACTTGGAAATGGCGGAGATGCTCAATGACTTCTTTGTTTCGGTCTTCACCGAGAAGTCTGGAGGTGTGCCTAACGTAGTGAATACAAGCAGAGAGAGGGTAAGTTTAGAAGATAGGATACACAAAGAACAAGTTAAAAATCACTTAGGAAAGTTAGATGTCAGCAAGTCACCAGGTCCTGATGAAATGCATCCCAGGATACTCAAGGAGCTGATAGAGGAGGTATCTGAGCCTTTAGCTATGATCTTTGAAAAATCATGGCAGACAGGGGAGATTCCAGAAGACTGGAAAAGGGCAAATATTGTGCCCATCTATAAAAAGGGGAATAAGAACAACCCAGGAAATTATAGACCGGTCAGTTTAACGTCTGTCCCAGGGAAGATAATGGAGCAGGTAATTAAGGAAATCATATGCAAACACTTGGAAGGTAATAAAGTGATAGGGAATAGCCAGCATGGGTTTGTGAAGAACAAGTCATGCCAAACTAATCTGATAGCTTTCTTTGATAAGATAACGAGCCTTGTGGATAAGGGAGAAGCGGTGGATGTCATATACCTAGACTTTAGTAAGGCATTTGATACGGTCTCGCATGATATTCTTATTGATAAACTAGGCAAATATAACTTAGATAGGGCCACGATAAGGTGGGTGCATAATTGGCTGGATAACCGTAGTCAGAGAGTTGTTGTTAACGGTTCTAAATCCTGCTGGAAAGGGATAACAAGTGGAGTTCCTCAAGGGTCTGTTTTGGGACCCGTACTGTTCAATATCTTCATCAATGATGTAGATATTGGGATAGAGAGTACTCTTATTAAGTTTGCAGATGATACCAAACTGGGTGGGGTTGCAACTTCTTTGGAGGATAGGGACATAATTCAAAATGACCTTAGCAAGTTAGAGAAATGGTCGGAGGTAAACAGGATGAGGTTTAATAAGGAGAAATGCAGAGTGCTCCACTTAGGAAGGAACAATCAGTTCCATACATACAAGATGGGAAGCGACTGTCTAGGAAGGAGCATGGCGGAAAGGGATCTAGGGGTCATAGTGGACCACAAGTTGAATATGAGTCAACAGTGTGATGCTGTTGCAAAAAAAGCAAATATGATTTTAGGTTGTATCAACAGGTGTGTTGTAAGCAAAACTCGTGAAGTCATTCTGCCGCTCTATTCTGCACTAGTTAGGCCTCAGCTGGAGTACTGTGTCCAGTTCTGGGTGCCACATTTCAAGAAAGATGTGGAGAAATTGGAAAGGGTACAGAGAAGAGTGACAAGAATGATTAAAGGTCTAGAGAAGCCTATGAAGCCAGGCTTCATGAACTGGGCTTGTTTAGTTTGGAAAAAAGAAGATTAAGGGGGGACATGATAGTGGTTTTCAAATATCTAAAAGGGTGTCACAAGGAGGAAGGTGAAAATTTGTTCCTCTTGGTTTCTGAGGACAGGACATGGAGTAATGGGCTTAAAGTGCAGCAGGGGAGGTTTAGATTGGACATTAGGAAAAAATTCCTAACTGTCAGGGTGGTCAAATATTGGAATAAATTGCCAAGGGAGGTGGTGGAATCTCCCTCTCTGGAGATATTTAAGAACAGGTTAGATAGACATCTGTCAGGGATGGTGTAGACGGAGCTTGGTCCTGCCTTGAGGGTGGGGGGCTGGGCTCGATGACCTCTCGAGGTCCCTTCCAGTCCTATTATTCTATGATTCTATGAATTCCTAGATAGTGAACCTGGCCGCTGTTGCTGCCGAGTCCAACAGGTAGAATGTAAACAACCAACCAACCAACCAAAAAAAAAAAAACCCTTAAGCCCCAACACACTTTTTCTGTATAGTGGTGTTTCCCAATTGGTGCACTGCAGGACCCTGGGGTTCCGCAAAGCGAAAGTAGGGGTTCCGCGAAGAACTGGCACTCCCACGCCCCCTCCGAAAGAGAGCTGGCTAGCTTGTTTCCCGTTCCTCCCTAGCAACGCAGAGGGAGGTAGGGGCAGAGGGAACAGTTGCTCCCCGCCGGCACACTAGGGGGGTGCCAGCCAGGGATGACTCCATGTGACCCACAGCGGGGAGGGCAGCACTTCCCCTCCCTAAAGGAGCTGGCACACGCTGCCTGAACAGCTGGGGCTGTGGCACCCGGCAACTTAGTTCCGTAGCCCTTTTGCGTGGTGGGGGAGGTCAAGAGACTGCCCTGGGTCTCATGGCTCTGCCCTGGGACTCACTGTTTGGGGAGGGGAAGTGCAGTTGTACACTTCCCAGAACCCAGAGGTGCTGCAGGATTGCATGAAACTGCTCCCCTGCCTAGATCCCCCATGAGTCCCCAGCAGTACCTTGTCCCAGCCCCAGCACCAACCTGTCCCCAGTCCTAGCACCCTGCCATCCACCCTAGCACCCAGCAGCACCCTGTTCCTTGTCCCAGCACTGTTTGGGGAGGGGAAGTGCAGTTGTACACTTCCCAGAACCCAGAGGTGCTGCAGGATTGCATGAAACTGCTCCCCTGCCTAGATCCCCCATGAGTCCCCAGCAGTACCTTGTCCCAGCCCCAGCACCAACCTGTCCCCAGTCCTAGCACCCTGCCATCCACCCTAGCACCCAGCAGCACCCTGTTCCTTGTCCCAGCACCCTGCCAGTCTGTCACAGCACCCTGCCACCTACCCCAGTGCTCAGCAGGACCATGTCCCTGACCCCAGCATCCTGCCCCAGCACCCCACCACCTCTGCCAGCATCCTGCCACCCATCAGCACCCTCTCCCCGGCCTCAGCACCCACTAGCACCTTGTCCCCTGCCTGCACCAGCACAGTTGGGACCACATTAGTGAGGCTTGGGGTTTTTTCTTGCATCTCACTTGTGTGGCCCCAACTGACTTTTCTGTGAGTCAGTGAAGCCTGGGGCCAAATCCTCATCTTACTGCACCATCTGACTGCAAATCTAAGCTTATCATACATTGGAACCCCCTTTTCTGCGCCTCTTGCATCCCCAGATGCCTGCATCCCCACATCCTCGGTCTTCTGCCACAACACTCCTGCACCATCCACTCATGGCAAATCTGTGGCCTGAGCCCCTCACATCCAACCTGACCTCCTGCACCCTCACATTCACAAGCCTGTGGCTTGCTCGGCACCCCAACCTTCCACCTAAGCCCAACATGCCCCAGCGTGGAGCCCCCTCCCTGATCCAGCATCCCCTTCTCCTGCATTCAAATTCCCTCCCAGAGCTTGCACTTCTTACCCCTTCCCACACACAAATCCGTCATTCTCACCCCAGAGCTTCCACCTCCTGTCTCAAGCCAGTGTGAGTGCATAAGGGCTGGGGATAGCAAGTGAGTGAGAGGAAGGGAACAGAGAGGATGGGGCCTTTTTTATTTGCTTGACAAACCTAGGGCTTCCTTGCAATTTTGAAAAGCATTCCATGGGCAAATAAAACTGGGAAACACTGCTGTATAGGTTAGGCACTGGTCTGCCCCTGAGCAAACGCATATCTGCCCTGCCATCTTGCAGTGCATGGTGGGGAGGGGGCGGGAGGGAAGGAATAGAGCTTATCCCCTGGAGATGGGTCTCTGTCTGCTCTCAAGGGCTTGCAGTGAGAATGACCTTGGCCCCCGCAGGGAGGCAATGGATGAACCCCTAGCCGAATGCCTGTGCTGTCCTACCGAAAGCCATGAGGAGAGCGTGTCGCTTTCCCCATTAGAACGAGCCGCTGCCCGGCCAGGAGTCCTGGCCAGTGCCATGCGCCCTCCCGGCCCCATGTGCCTCAGCCTGGCTGCTCTCACATCACGGAAGAGGCGCGTCTCCGACCCATCCCTGTGAGGGGTTGCCTCAGTGAGCCTGGAGGGGGGCAGGCGGCGGCCGGTCTCCGCCTTGGCGCCTCACCGAGTCCGCCCTAGGGACTCGGGGGGAGCGGGAGGAGGGGCTGCTGGCCCGCAACGAGGCGCCGGCCCCCCGCGCCATGGCCCAGGCCAAGATCAGCGCTAAAGCCAGAGAGGGGAAGCAGGGGGGGCCGCTCCACGGGCGCTTCTTCCGCTCCACCTCCATGGCCGACTGCTCCAGCCGCCTGCTGCAGAACCTGGACCAGCTGGAGCTCAGGTCCGGAGCCCCTCGGGTCGGGGCACGGCGCGCAAACCGGCGGGGAGGTGTCTGGCAGTGCAGAGGGATGGGGGGGAGGTCCGGTCTTACTACTGCGGCAGGGGCGTTGGGGTAAATTGGTGGGTGTGTCGCGCTGGTGCGGCCGGAGGGAGGGGGAGGGATCGGTGAGTGTCGTGCTAAATGCGGCAGCGTGCTTCTGGGCGGTGGTCCTAATGCAGCAGTAGGGGCTGCCGAAGCTTGTTTCTGCAATCGGAGGGGGGAGTTTTGGCAGACATGTGCTCACTGTGCTGCTGTGCGTATATTGGAAGCCGTAGTGGGTTGATGCTGATTTCTTCTCTCCCATGTGTGCCTCTGTTCCTGCCATTGGACTTGAATGGTGAAGTTTGCTGCAGCTAGGATTTAAATATGCTGAGAGTGAAGGGCACAGCTGCTTTCACTGCAGTGCTGGGAGGAAGAGACCTATATATAGTTTCCAGGCTCATAGGGTTAGGGAGACACAGTCATTATAGATTTCTGCGGTCTCACTTCTTCCTGAACAGAGCCTATCTGAATTTCGCAGAGGTAGGCAGCAGGAGAGCTCCATTTTTTGGGGGGAGAAGATACAGCAATCCAGGGGAGCCAGCATGTCATTTCAGATTTAGCAAGAGGGGGGTAATTGTCACTGTGGTTGCTGGAGCTAATTAGGCACCTGAAAGCTCTAGTAGGCTGTGTCTACATTGGCATGATCTTGCGCAAATACTTTAACGCAAGAACTCTACACTGGCATGTGCCTTTGCGCAAGAGATGTGCTTTTTGCGCAAGAGCATCCGTGCCAGTGTAGACGCTCTCTTGCGCAAGAAAGCGCCAAGGGTCATTTTAGCCATCGGACTTTCTTGCGCAAGTAATTCATGTTGCCTGTCTACACTGGCCTCGTGCAAGAGGGCTTATTCCTGAGTGAGAGCATCATAGTTCTTGCACAAGAAGCACTGATTTCACACATTAGAGCGTCAGTGTTCTTGTGCAAGAACTCCCTGCCAGTGTAGACAGGCAGCATGTTTTTGCGCAAAAGTGGCTGCTTTGGCGCAAGATGGTGCCAATGTAGACACAGCCTAGAGTTTTAGGGGGTGGAGGGAGGAAGAATTAGCTCTCAGGAGTGTTGTCAAAATCCTAACATTTGGCTCCATCATTATTATTAAGATCAGATTTGGAACTTCATTTATTAACATACGAAATTTGTTATTTTAGAATAATTTAAAAATTAGAATTAGAAAATGAGTGACCGTCTGCACAGTGTCTAAAGTTACAAGTTTAGCTAATGTTTAAAAAACTGTCAAAGCTTGTGAGCACAAGCTAAATTTACATTCTTGAAGAATACTGTTACTTGATTAAATAAAGAATTACAAAGCACAAGATGGTAATAAAGATAATTACTTCATTACATGTTATGGGACATGTTACAAATTTTAGAACACAGTATTAAAATAATCCATATATACTTGTTGATAAGCCAAATTTTTCTGGTAAAAAATCCAGCTGTGAAGAGTGAGGATTGGCTTATAAACTGGTCATTGTTCTTCAGATTTTTTCCACTGGGGGGAAAGGTCGGCAAACTTCAATTTCCAGCTCAGCAGGGCAAACCACTGGCACGCCAGGATGTTTTATGCACGTGGAGCGTCTGCAGGCACAGAGCCAGTCAGCTCCCAGTCATTGCTGTTCACCATTCCGGATCAACGGAAACGGCTGGAAGTGATGGCTAGCACATCTGTTGGCCCACACTGCTTCCTCAGCTCCCATTGGCTGGGAACGGCAAACAGCAGCCAAGCCAATGGGGGCTCGCCACTCTGGTTGACCCCAAATGGCGAACTGCAGCGACTGGGAGCTGATAGGCTCCTTGCCTGAAGATGATCCAAGTACACAAATGTCCCAGCATACCAGAGGTTTGCCCTGCATGGCTGGGAACTTATCATGCTGCATACTCTGCTGTATTCGAAAAGGTGGAGTAAGAAGAAACACACAAAAGTTTTAGTAGATTTATTTTAATACAGTGTCACAAAAAAACTGCTGTAATAACTTAATAAATATGTATTCAAATACCTTCAAAATTACAATCCACGTTTTAATGTCTCATATTATTCTAATGCACTTTTTAAAAGTCTTAAAAACTATCAAAATCTTAATGGCTATGTCTACACTGGCATGATTTTCCGGAAATGCTTTTAACGGAAAAGGTTTTCCGTTAAAAGTATTTCCGGAAAAGCGCGTCTAGATTGGCAGGACGCTTTTCCGGAAAAGCCTGGCTTAGTTCCGGTTCGCACTGGGTCTGTGAGCTCAGATCCTCTTCTCCCCTGCCCAGCAGGGGCTACTGCCACCCCATATTGCTGCCTCTTTATTAGAGGCAGCAGCACAGGGAGACAAGCAGCTAATCTGCAAGAGGAGCTGGTTTTAAAATTGGCTCCCTTTGCAGACTCTCCCACCTGGCACTCTGCACTGCTGCTGGCTCTGCCCCTGGGGACTATAGAATAGTCGACTAACAGATAAGAATTCATGAGGTTAATTGAGTATTCAATTAACTGATATTTAACATCCCTAGTGGTAGGAGGGCAGAAGGTTGCAAGGGAAGAGAGGCTGGGGTGCCAGAGACAAGCTTTGGTTAGGAGCCTCTTACTTGGATGGCTCTCAGCCAGTAGCTAATCTGGTTCCTATTTCAGGGTTCCTGCCTTCTGTGCCCCTTCATCAGCTGCAGAGGCCATGTGTGGTTGACTCTGAAGTCTGTGAGCCTGGAGGGGAAGGGGTACTTCACATGCTGCCTGTCCTGCAAAAAGGCAGCTTCCATTGTCCAGAAATTGGCCAATAGGAGCTGCAAGATTTTGTTTCTTCCCTCCCCCATTTCTCCCACGCTTGCAGCATTCAGAGAGCTGCTCTGAACACAGAGCGGGGTGGGGAAGAGTCGTTCCTGGTATAGGTGCGCATATCATCCTGGATTGACACTCATGTCACTTGCCCTGTAAATCTGCAGTGTTGCTAAAACTGACCAACAAGGCAATGAAAAAACCACGGAAGCACTGACAGCATGTTATGTGGCTGAAGTGTAACTTTATTTGTAGATTTATTTTCTTCTGCTTTGTTCAACTTTACTCAGGGTTGAAGCCTTGCGTGATGCAGCATCTGCTATGGAACAAGAAAAAGAAACCCTGCTAGAAATGATCCACAATATACAGAACAGCCAAGATATGAGGCACATTAGTGAAGGTGAGACTCTGCCTTTTCCTAGATTGTCATTTGAACTTGTTTTGGAGAAATCAGTGGATATAATCATAGAAGGTAGGGGTTTGAAGAGACCTGCGAAAGTCATTTACACCGAACCCCAGGCTCAAACCAAGACCAACCCTAACTAAATCATTCCAGCCGGGGCTTTGTCAAGCTGGGCTTTAAAAAACAAAATTAGTTACTGTATATTTTTGATGTGCAGCTCAAGTTGAACCATTTGAAAATGATGATGGAGCAAAATAAATGTAAGTCTTCTGTTAGAGCTAATGCAGTGTTATTTAGATGGATCCTATTTCCTTAATAGCCTTTTAGTTCAGTATAGGGGACTGTGATAAGTATTACTATGTAAGTGAAAATTACCTCTAATTATTTTTGTTGCCTGAAACAATTCCAATATAACCTTTTTGAGATGAGGAGACCATATCTGCACAAAGTATTCAAGATGTGGGTAGTATGGATTTAGTTAGCAGAATGTGATATTTTGTGTCTTATTATGTATTCATTTCTTGATGAGTCCAAACAGTTTTTGTTTTAACTGTCGCTGCCCACTGAGTGAGTATTTTCAGATACCTATCCACATTGACTCCTATCTTTCTTGAGTGGTAACAGCTAATTTAGACCCCAACACCTTATATGTAGAGTTGGGATTGTGTTTTTCAATATGCATTACTTTGTATTTATCAACATTGAATTTCATCTGACATTTTGTTGTCCACTCACCCAGTTTTATAAGATCCTTTTGAAGCTCTTTGCAGTCTGCTGTGCACTTTACTATCTTGAGCATTTTTGTGTCATCTGTAAATTTTGCCACTTCACTGATTACCTCTGAACAAATGCAGTATATTGCCTCATTGCAGTGATACATAAAACCCTTTACTGCTGTTTGCACTGTAGAACCAACACAGCTAATATTAAAGAGCAGGATTATTTTCCATTTTGTGCATCATCAATAGACTTGTTTATTAAGTTCCAGTCAGTTACATGCATGCAAGACAGCTGAAAGAATGAAGTTGGCTAGGTGTCAATGAGGGTCCCATTTAGAATGCAGAACTATTATCACCATGGAGATAAGGCATGAGATGGAAGAACCAAGCTCAGGAACCAGGTTTCTGTAGAAAAGCTGGCCAATTGTACCTGTAAACTGAACACATTTGGTCTAAGATCTTTGAAATACAGATTTACAGTCACTGTTAAAAATAGAATCACCATGTAAACTTTCTGATCTGATTACATTTTTTCTATTGAAAACCAACAGCAGAGATGTTTATCTACAACTTTCAGTAGGGCAATTTGGTTGTATGTGTCATGTGTTTCACACCTGGAAGGACTGGTTTATAAATCAGAATATTTTATTTTTATATTTAGGTGAAAGAGAAGAACTTAGCCTGACTGCCAGTCGTCTAATGGGTCGAACTCTCACTGTTGAGGTTTCTGTAGAAACAAGTTGCATGCCACAAGGATGATTGATGAAGTAGTCAATAAACTTCTTGATGATCTGGAAGATTCTAAAAATCGTTTAATATCACTTTATGGTGCATGCATATCTGAAGTACCATCTGGGCCCATTGATCAGAAATTTCAGTCTGTTGTAATTGGATGTGCTATTGAAGATCAAAAGAAAATCAAAAGGAGACTAGAGACTCTGCTTAGAAATATAGAAAATTCTGAAAAGTCAGTCATGTTGTTAGAACATCCAAAATCAACTGTACAACAGTTTTGCAACAACAAATAGGATTAAATCAATACCAGCTATTTTGGCAGATCAAAATTCAGTCTCCATAAAGAGTGCATGGAACACAAAGAAAAATGTTACTTTTTAGTATTGAACTAATAGTACTTTAGAGTGCTGGGTGCAAACACTAAGGCTATGTCTACACTCGCGTCTTCTTGTGGGAGTAATATGCAAATGAGGCTAAGCGGTGAATATTGCCGAGCCTCATATGCATAACTAATGAGCCGCCATTTTTGTGGAAGAGGTTCTTGCGCAAGATGGAGCTGTCTACACTGCCCTTTCTTGCACAAGAAAAACCCTCTTGCGCAACGCTGTTACACCTATTACTTGAGAGGAAGAACGGCATTGTGCAAGAGGATTTTTCTTGCACAAGAAAGGGCAGTGTAGACGCTCCTTCTTGCACAAGAGCCTCTTCTGAAAAAAATGGCGGCTCATTAGTTATGTAAAAGAGGCTCGGTGATGTCTAAAGTGATAGGGAATAGCCAGCATGGGTTTGTGAAGAACAAGTCATGCCAAACTAATCTGATAGCTTTCTTTGATAAGATAACGAGCCAATACTGATAACTCTGCCTTAGGGATTAGAAAGAACATAGGTATTTTTCACAATGAAGATGTGATCTAAGAATGCTATCCGATTTGCTCCTTTAGAATTAAACTTTATTGGTAGTTTGCTGCAAATTGTAATTAATGTGCTTCTGCTGCACTCTTAAAGCTAGTCAGAATCTAATTTTTATCTTCTGAAATTTTTGAAAACTTAAGCTTTTTTGTCATGTTAAAATTTCACCGAGCACATTTTTTTCCTTTGTGTGAAACCAATTTATGGAAAAAAGATAAATCACACAATAAACAAGAAAAAAAGTTGGCATGCTGCAATCTGTATTTTCAGTAATGAGTAACTTTGTTAGTGATAATTAGTACTTGGCAGTGTAGATCAAGATGCTTTACAAAGAAGGATAAGTGTTGGCCTTATTTTAGGGACATCGTGGTAAAATAACTCACATAAGGCGACACCGCAGCCGCAGGCTAGGAATAGAACCCAGATCTTCTGCTTTTCAGTTCCATGCTTCATCCACTGAATACTGCTGCCCTCTAGCCTGTGTATTAACTAATGCCTATTTTGGGGCTGTTGTGGGCTAATGACTTCAGAATAACCTACAAGAGGAATTATGCTGAGTTTCTTTCATGTCCTGCAAATCCCTGATTTTTTTTCCTGTAACCCTCTATGAACCTAACAAAATGAAACAGAAAGAGGGAAAATTCTTTCCATCCTCCAACCTCAGCAGTAACTAGGTGGAACAGCTGGCTCTATATTACATCGAACGCACTGTGGCTTACATTTCATTTTTTCTGAGGATTAAAGCAGTAGTTCAGGAGATTGTATATTTTTGCCAATCTGCAGTAGTTAGTGAAGATATCCAGGCTCTAAAACACTTTGCACGCTAAACCATTTAAGCTTATGAAAAACCCACAGTTTGTGCTCAAGTCACAAATGATGTGTGATCCTGTGTTACGGATGGAGAGCTGCTCTGGAACTTTGCAGTGCCCAATAGCAAAAACAGCACTCTTGGAAAGCTAAAAAACAGTCATACCTGGACACTGACTAAGCCTCCTGCTGTCACCAACCTGCTGCCAGTTTCTTCAGTACATGCCTTGTATTTTGGCCAAATCACGCAAAACACTTTGACATTGTGAGGTCACCGCAGAACAAATATTGAGCTTGTTGTGGAAAAGTCCAAGAATTGAAGAACAAGGATGTTTTCCAGTTCTGGAGATTCATGATGGCCAGTTTCCAGCTCTGTCAGTAGCTGTTCCGTGATGCTTACCAGTACCATTCTATATTGTAGACGCTGAACACTCCTTGTCATCATCTAAAAATGTGCTTGGGGCCAAAATGCAGCACATAAGAAATAACAGTCTACATATAACTTGCTATACTGAAATTGCAACATTTTGAAAAGGGGGTCTTTCCCTTTTATGTTCTATTGTTTAGTTATTTTTGTTAGCAAAATTATTGCACAATATGCATATATAATTTCAAAATCATTTACTTTGACAACTATTGCATTAATGTTTCATATAAATGTTACACTAATACTTAACAAATGATTGCACATTTTTATTGCCATGAAAATCTCATGTTGTTCATTTTTACCATGACTATTCCATGAATTTTACCATGACAAAATCTTACTTATATTTGTGACATCACAGTGAACAGATGCAATCTTATTGCATGAAATTAAAATGGTTTAATTCATCTTTCATTATCTAGTTGGCATCTTTCCAGCTTGTCCTTCTCCAGAGTTAGTTCCATTCTTAGCCAACTCAGTGTCAGGGCTATCTATATAGCCCTGTGCTCCACCCTGTGGAAAGTGTTCGTTATTGATTCATAAGTTCCAAGGCCAGAAGGAATGATAGAGAACATCCCCAAAATAATTCCTAGAACAGATTTTTTAGAAAAATATCCAATCTGGATTTAACAATGGTCAGTGATTAAAAATCCAGCACAATCAGTAAATTGTTCCAATAGTTAATAACCCTCACTAAGTGACATCTTATTTCCAGTCTGAATTTGTCTAGTTTCAATTTCTAGTAATTTGATAACGTTATACTTTTCCCTACTAGATTGAAGAGCCCATTATTAAATATTTGTTACCCCTTAACCTGCTTTTAGTTACGCTTTAAATATATTGAGCTCCTTGTGTCTGTCACTATAACACATGGTATTCAATCCTTTAATCATTCTTGGGGCTCTTTTCTGAAGGAACAGTGGTTTGTCTTTTATCCTCTTAATCCAAACTAAATATAGCCCTACCACAGAGAGCAGCCAGAAGCAAGTATGCTTTTAAAAGAAAGAACCAGAAGACAAGGAAAATGAAAAAGGCTAAATTAGGTTATGTTCCTTTTTTAAAGCCTTCTTGCATCTTAAAAAATATAGAAAATATAATAAGACAGTAAGAAAGTGCTCAGAGAGAGGACATTTTCAGATGAAGTATTTCTATAATTCTGATTTCTTTGGGATGAGTTGAGATGTCATCTGAATTTTTTGTAAATGAAGTCACAAAAAATAACAACCCTAGAGAGTGTGTGTTTTGCTTCAAAATATTTTTTTTTCCTTCTGCTAATATGATTTGCTCTGAGCCTCTGGAACTTCTTTCCCCCATAACTGCGTCAAAAGTAACAAAATATTGTGACTTTCAGAACATACTGAATTATATACCTATTTGATAGGTTATCTGGAGAAGTCTGAGGTGGGTGATGGGTTTTAGATGTTGAAGGGGGTAAACAAGTCGACTAGCCAGCCAAGTTCCTGTGGAACTGATTTCAGTGTCTAATTTAACTGTATTACAGTAATATGCTTGGATGGTGTCTTTAAAAATGTAACTAAACAAAACAAATGTGAGTTCTCCTAATCCAACAACAGGCCAGTGTAGACAATCTTACCAGCTGTCAGAGGAAAAATATAACCTTATTATCATTTTAAAGAGGACTGTTTTGCTTGATTACATCCTATTAAGCAGCAAACAGCAAATCAGAGAGAACACTACTATGTTAATTTTGATAGACTACATGGGCCCAGAAAATCAAAGATACTAACATAAGCATTGTACAGTGGTAAGGTCAATAATCAAACATGACACTTGAGTTTTGGGAGTATAGAGACCTCCTATGGCAAACACACCACTAAAAATTAACCTTTACTAAGGATACAGAAAAGGGGAAAACGGTTAAAGCATTTGGAATGTAAAGTAATAAGTGAGGCTTTCATTTTAACAATATATTTTATTGCCTTTCCCTTCAGTTAAAAGCATTTTAGAGGAAAAGCCTCCTTTCTAACAGTCTATGGAATGGTATTAAAATGCGACTAATTGACCTTTGGGGGAAAAGAGAAGCTAGTTGAAATGGTTGGAACAAGCTGTTGAAGTCTAATCCTGTTTCCTAGAAGACAAAACAAGAGAGAAAAGAACAGCAAAGAGAGGAAATGACCTTCTGTCTCAGATGCTGATGCAGTTGCCGCCTCACTGCTGGAGAGACAGTGGTACAACAGTCACAGTGAGGTTGGTCAACATGTACAGGTAGGCTATGTCTACACTGGCACGATCTTGCACCAGAGATATGCAAATGAGGCCAAGCCTCATTTGCATATCTAATGAGCTGCCATTTTTGCAGAAGAGGCTTTTGCCTCAGAAGGAGCTGTCTACACAGCCCTTTCTTGCACAAGAAAAACCCTCTTGAGAATGCCGCTACGCTGATTATTTTCGGGAATAACGGCATGGCACAAGAGGGTTTTTCTTGCATAAGAAGGAGCAGTGTAGACAGCTCCTTCTGGCGCAAGAGCCTCTGCCGCAAAATGGCAGCTCATTAGATATGCAAAAGAGGCTCGGCAATATTCCGTGCTTAGTCTCATTTGCATATCTCTGGCGCAAGATCGTGCCAGTGTAGACATAGCCTACCTGTACATGTTGACCAACCTCACTGTGACTGTTGTACCACTGTCTCTCCAGCAGTGAGGCGGCAACTGCATCAGCATCTGAGACAGAAGGTCATTTCCTCTCTTTGCTGTTCTTTTCTCTCTTGTTTTGTCTTCTAGGAAACAGGATTAGACTTCAACAGCTTGTTCCAACCATTTCAACTAGCTTCTCTTTTCCCCCAAAGGTCAATTAGTCGCATTTTAATACCATTCCATAGACTGTTAGAAAGGAGGCTTTTCCTCTAAAATGCTGTTGTTAAGCAAAAAATTTTTTAAAAAGAGCATGGCCCCTTTAAGAAATGCTTTTGAGGCTTAGACTTCAACAGCTTGTCCCACCTAACAGGATGCTGGCGGCCATCCACCATCTTCTCTCCCTGCCCCGGGCCAGACAGCTCCCCTGTGGAACCAGATAAGCACCAGGTATTTTTGCCTCCTGGCCATGAAAATATCAAAAAATACCAGACATTTTAGGTGTCTGGTACTTTCTGAATTTTTTTTACTGGACAGGAGGCGAAAACACTGGACTGTCTGGGTCAACACCGGACACCTGGCAACCCTATGTACAGGTTGAAATTCTCTTAACCGGGATTCTCTGGTCCAGCAACATCCATGGTCCAGCATGGATGTTACAGAACCAGAGAGTCTTAGTGGAGGGCCAGCAGTAAGGATCCCTGTGGAGCCAGCTGGGCAGTGGGCTGCCTGCAGGGAGCTGA